GCCAGAGAGTATTGCTTGTCATCGCCAGCTATGATCCTCACAAAACTTGCCTTCTCCCCAATGCACTAGAGAAAAACATCTCCTATTGGGATTTTTTCTGTGTAGTTGCTGTGGGGGTGTTGTGGTCTTTGCAGCTGGAAAGAGAAGTGTTAAACCTCTGTGCACTACCGTCCTGAAGAAATTTGGCAGAGGGCATGCACAGGGCCAGGCTACATAATCTTCAACTTAAGACTGGCTTATTTACTTCACTGCAAACACACGTGGGCCCAGTGTGGATCAGCACGGTTGTACTCCAGGAGTAAGCATTTAAGGCCCACCACACCTATTTTCATCCTCATATTCTACCCCTCATAAGAGGGGATTAAAAAGAAAGACCAAATGCATTGGAATCACTCCAAATTAGTGCTTACATTTATACACTAAGCCAAATAATCCAAGATTTGAGGAACGTCTCCTTGGCCCTCAGTATTAACCGTAACAAGTCACTCTTGCAACGCCATTTGCCATGCAGTGACTGTGAGGTGGGGTTGGTCCCTGAAGCATAGGAGAGCTAAGATCATAAATCTCCTCATCTCGTTGGCTCTCTGCCCTGAATTCCTCGCTGTTGCCATTGTTGTTTGAATAGTGGCTAAGGCAAGGGGGTGGAAAGCTGCCACCTGCGGCCTCTGCCTGTCGAGGATGGGAATGTTCAATGGGAAGATTCACCAAAGTGAGGCAAATGGAGGATGGCCAGAGCAGGCGCCAGTGAGCACGGCCTACACTGGGCCGGCACAGATGCGTTCCCGCTGCCACGGAAGCTCTTTTTCCTCAACCCACCCCTCATTCTAAGGACTGCAAATGGAGGTGAAGGGTGGGTTCTTGCCTCCTGCCACGCTGTCCCATGAGGGGCTTTGCTATTTCCCCAGTCACCTTTCTTCACTGCTACAGATTAGCTATATAGCGTTCGTGGTGAGGCCTGCCTGATAGAGTTGATACGCAAACCACTAAATCGTGAGGCACTTTTGAACATGCGCCACGGAGTTGTGGAAGGAACTGTGGAAGTTGGTGGCCTTCTGGAGAAAGCAACAGGACTCATTTATCTTAACTCTAGTCTACAATGAGGGCCAGGCAGGAGTGGTGGTGAGAGCAGGCGTTCCCCCTGGTGCACTCCAGGTGCATTAGACTGTAGCTGTCATCATCCCCAGCCAGCGTGGGCTGTGCTGACTCAAAATGATAGGCACTGTAGTAGTCCAGCACACACAGAGCACACAAGGCTGCCCATGGCTGAGTGAGACTATCATTCTAGAGCTGAGAAGGCCCTGGGTCAAAGTCACACACAGCGATGAAGCCCACCCACTGAATTTGGGCCAGTCGTGATTACTTTGCCTCACAGGGCTATTGTTTTATATTGGGCTATTATGTTATATTGTCTTATTGTTAAACCATCCCGAGATCATGGCAAGGGATGGTCTAGAAAAGTTTTAAATAAATAAATAAATAAATAAATGTTGTGGGGTGGGGTGAGATAGAAGAAGCTTGTATGTGCTGCCTTGAGCTTAGGATGGATAAATAATGTAAGACACATTTGCATTTAACCACAATGAGAAGTTTGTTCAACTTTCCTTTGACATTTAATGCAAATATTTATTATGTTGTTTCCATGATTACATATGTTGCAATCATGTAAGTCATTAGTAATATGGCTGAGAAGATGGGTGTGTGTCTCTGAAGTATTTGCTCTGTAGGACAGTCTTCCTCAACCCGGTGCCTTCCAGCTGTTTTGGGCCAGAAGTTGATTTCCAGCTATTTTGGACTTCAACTCCAGGAAGCCCTGCCAACATGGCCAGCAACCACGAATGCTGGGAGCTGAAGTCCAAAACATCCAGAGATCTACTTTCTGCCCAACCCTGGTGGAGACTACATCTCCTATCTGCCCCAGGAAGTATGGACCATGGTTGAAGATGACAGGAGCTGAAGCTCCTAACACCAGGAGCACACCTAGTTTGGGAAAGCTGCTGTAGGGGATGTACTTGGGAAAGAGAAGACAAAAATATCCCTCCGTCATGCTAACGGAGAACTTAATCTCCACAGCATCACCCATTCACTGCTGGGGCCGCATTCATTTATCCACCTTCCGTGACATCACAGAATGACGAAGAATGCTCAGACCTGAACACGTTCGCTCAGCAGGTGCCTCGGCGATATCTTAGCCCAGCACATTTCTCATTAGCACCACCCCATGTGTCTAGTTCCCCCCCCCGTTTAGCATTTTACCCCAGCAGACCATCACGAAGGCCGATTCCTACACACCCTTCAATCACACAGATGCGAACAGCAAAGAGGAAGAGGGGTGCTCTAGTCCTCATGCTTTTCGTGATGGGAGACTTTCAGGATGGGAGAGGTTCCATTTCTACACACTTGAGAATCCCAGTTTCCCAGCATTCCCAACCACTGGGAGAGTCTGGGCGGATAGGGGAGACTTCTACTCACAGTGTCATCCCCCATGTGTAGGGAGAGACAGAAGCATGCAAAAGGAGGGCCAGGGGTAGGATTCCTTTAGATTAGTGCTTGATTCATTGGTTTCTTAAGAAATTATGGAGATTTCTTTCCCCAGTTTTGTTTTTCAGGACCAAATTATTCATGACAGTATTCAAATCTTTGTAGCTGATTTTTCAGCGAATAAATCCAGAGGGAGCCAGATTGAAACCTTTATCCCTCACTATGGTCTTCACTGAAAGTTCTCCCCCTCCCCCAATACCTGTTCTTTGCAATGGCAAAGTGTTCAGGCCACCTTGTTCCATATGCTACAGGACCCATGCTACAGGTCCTCCCCCAGGCAGACTATTCTGTTAAAAGATCGTCCATGCAATTGCTAAAAACAAGGTACATTTAACATCACCCCTTTCTGGGGAGCTGGAGACTTGGGGTGGGGGTGTTGAAAGGGTTGAGACCACTGAGAACTGTTAGTTCAACACTTTAAAGCCTTTGCTAAGTGGGAGATCTTGTCCTTCCCCTTTGGTTGCTCTTTCTTTTACTACGTTTCTTCCTTTACCAGTGTTTTTCCATTGTCGAGTATTGATCCCTAACACCTGTGCATAAATTTGCCTATATGAAATCTCTGTCAGTTTCCATTTGTGTTACCTATTGCAGTTCAGCTGCCTTTAAGAGTGGAAATGGACAAGAAACCTGACTAGGTAAGCCTCCCTATATTGGACAGTCTTAAATGTGCACTTCCAAGAGACCAACAACATACATAAACCCACAATTGTGCAATTTTATAGAGCCAAAGTAATAATTTCAAAAGGGTGGCAAACCAGTGATGGTTGTTCCAAAGTGGTGGTTGGCCATGGGTGGCAAAGCTGTCACCAATAACATCATGGGTGAGATTGCAGAATATGGAAGGTTTTTTCCCATTCTTACTGAGTGGCTCACAAACTGATCCCCATAACCCTTTTCCTAGCCTTTGTGATAATACCTTTCCTTGCATTTGTTCAAATTGTTGTTGTTGTTGATTCTTAAGTTAATGCAAGACTGCATTAACTCCTCCCTGCAGCAGTGATTGCTGACCCCTGAGTCTAGCAGCCTGATTGAGCCTAGTGATTTGAACCAACTGTAGAACAATTAGTGTTATCTGACTGTAACAGATTTTTCTGCACTAAGTGAAATGATGTAGTCAGTTCACCTGTTTCCATTAGGCCAGAAGTAAGCAGTGTAAGTTAGCCTACTTTTCCACATGCAAAGAACACATCAGGAAGTAGAAGGGCTTCAAATACTAGCTCCGGGCTTCCCTGTCCCTACCCTATCACCCACACATTTAGCACAGCAGCTTAACAGCTCTTCTAGACACAACTGTTACTTTGCTGTATCTATTTCCAGATAATCAAAATACATGCCCTACACAGAGCATTTCCTTTCCTGCTTTTCTGCCACATAACCTCTAGGTGGCACTGTGGTACAATAGAACAGCACAAATATACAAGATGAAATTCTTTCATCATTAGAAATAATACCCCATTTTCCCTGTTTTAGAAAACCTTGGGAAAAGGGCAGTTTACAAACTGAAGTGACATCAGAGAGTCATGACATCCAAAGAACATGTAAGCAATCATCAGTTGGAAACAATGGGTGTGTAACAAGTGCCTTATGTAAAAGCCAAGAATGTCTCTGTTCCCAGGTGCTCAACAGCCTGGGGTTGAAATTCTTTCATATAGTTGTTTACCAGGCCCAGGCAGGTGACTGATAATTGTTTTTATCTGCTTTAAACAGTTTCAAGTTTCTGCATGCTTTTTATTCTGTCTAACATATTGTGAACTACCCAGTTATCTATGGCTATTGGGTGGTCTAGAAATGGGATGAAAAAATGAATGAGTGAGGGCACAATCCAGTGCATGTCTAGAGAGAAAAGGGGAGTCCTATGACTCCCAGCATTCCCTAGTCAGCTCTGTCAGCTGGGGGAATGCTGGGAGTTGTAGGACTTTTTTCTACCCAATCATGCATGGGACTGTACTCTGAACAAATGAACAACAAACAAATGGATTCAATCTATCATCTGCCTTCCATGGATGGAAGGGCTCCATGGTGGCAAACGGCCCCAGCCTCACCGCTCAACAGGATCCTCAGACTCTCTGTGTAGCCTTTCCAGGGGTCTGGGGTAGCTGCCATGGGAGGAGGGTAAAGGGAAGTTCTCTTTCACCTGCCCACTTGCACACATGTAAATCTGGATCCCGACCAATATATGTACATAGAGCTCCTCCATACAGGTTGGAGAGCCAACCCCATTCAGGACCCACCTTGAGTCGGAGTCCTTTTCTTGCCTGCTCAGCATGATGGCCATGATGGGACATGGTGTCCAGGCCCTTCACACATTCTTTGCCACCTTTAAGGGGGTTCTGTACATTCCAGTACAGTTGTTTCTACCCAGTACACCATATTTAGAGAGGTCATTTACATAGTCACACGGTGACCTGGTGGTGGTAAGACTTGTCCCCAGGCAGGGACAGGTGGTGTCTCCAAACACTTACCTGTGTATTTCCAGCATGTGCACTCCATATTTACTTTCAATTGTGTACTTTCCAGGCTCACTAGCAGGAGTAATCAATTCTTCATTTTTATACCTGACAAACAAAAGGAAAACAGATTGCACAAGTAAGCAAAATGCAACAGTAAAAGAAAGAGGAGTTGATGCAGTTGGACACAAAAGGGTATAAACATAGGCTGTTTATTCAGCTTTAATGATGGCGTAGGAACAAGGAAGATGTGATGCATATTATACGAGCCTTCCTTTGCTCAGGATTCTTTAAGGCTAGATGTGCACATTTTCCCAAGCAGAGGAAATGGGAGGGAAGCATTTTCACCTAGAAAACAGTGCTCAGGGAAGTGCTACCCCCTCTCCCCTGCATTGCTAGAGTCCCAGTCCAAATTCACATCACCATCCTGTGCCTCACATTTGCCAAAATGTAAAGCAGCAGATCTGAGCATGGGTCTCATTCCATTTAGTTAGACTCATGCCATTCAGCTAATGGGGATTACTGGACATCTAAAAGAACAGCATTCCTGTTGCTCTAACAATTGTGCAAGTGAGGATTCCCAAGTGGGAATCTTGGCTGGTGAAGCTTCTCTTATCTGTTTTTGATAAGCTGATCTGCAATCACTTCTTATTTTGTGCAATTATATAAGGTACAAGAGATCCCTTTCTACAAGAGGCGGTTAATCTGCTGCATCTACTTTCAGTTTGGTTGCAGAATTGAGATACAACAACGACACACAGCTTCATTCCCCATTTTTCTGTTATATAGCCTCTAGGTGGCACTGTGATGTAGCAAAACATTCCAAATACTCAAGTGGAAACAGCATTTTCCATCACTTTCAGAAATACTCCATTTTCCCTACTCCGGCAAATCTCTCAGAGAGTACCATTTACAAACAGAAGTTAAACAAAGTGCACAATATCATCTAAAAAGCCCAGAAACAAATAGGAATGGGAAATAACACACACATGAGAAACACCTTGTGTAGCAAAGCTCAAGTTCTTCCTTTGCAACAAGTCATGCCAACAGTCTCCTAAGAGGGTGGGTTCTTCTCCGTTCCTCTGCTTCATAGGTGGATTGATGTACCAATGGCTGGGAGCAATTTAAAAACTTACTGCATGAAGTGTATCACCACACGAATGTTCCCTGAGATGACCTCCAGTCAATGGGGTTATAAACACCATGCAATAAGCTTCTAGTTTCCCCACCATGTAATGGATCATCCACATCATCCCGAACCTTCTGGAATACTCAGGAAGAGTGTGTGGTCCTGCTTGTTTTTATCCTAGCATTTGGACTTGACTGCCATTAAAACTTACCAAAATTATTCACCGGAGTATTTATCTTAAGTATGGTCAGAAAAGAGTGGAAATACAGCGGTAGTGCAGAAGGTCTCGAGTTAGGGCTGGGAAAGACTCCAGTCTGAAACCCTAATGAGCCACTGGAAGTAGATGTAAACTTGCTTCCAATCAGATGCTCTCCAGACTTTTTGGATTTCTACTCCCATCAGCCCCAGGCAGCACTGGCAAAAGTCAGAATTTCTGGGAGTTTTCGCCCAGCCTTCCCGAGTGGGAGCACCCAGCTGGGGAAGGCTGATGTAGGAATGCTAAGCTAGATGGACCAGCACACAGTGGACTCCTGTGCTCCTGGGAACTGTGGAAGCGGTAAGGAGTACCTCTCACATGCATATGAATGTGCAGGGACTGGACAACAGGCACCTGGGGAGGAGACAGGCAAAGGTGCCAGTGCACAGCACAGCGGAAGTGCCTTCCCCACACGTTCTCCCTGGCTGCTTCCAGGGATTCACACATTCTACAAATCCAAGATGCTCTTCCTGGCAAGTCTTTGGCTCGTAAGCTGCTCTGCTGCTGAAGGGGGTTTAACTAGTCTGATTTGGTCAATGGGGTCAACAGTCCAAGGCTGCAATCATGCAAATAGACCCTCCGGCTGATTCTGTTGCACAAGTAGCCCTCCGACACCAATTCCACTGTGCAAGCAGGTTGGTGAAATTGATATATAATGCTTTTTCTAGGAAGCCTCAAAATGAGTAAAGAAAGTTTGTCTCTGGTTTGCAACAGAGTAGTGGAACTCCCTTATACAAGCTCTGCTGACCTGCCTTTTCCAGAAATACGCATTTCCACTCACTTTGAGGAGTTTTATGCCTGATCCATGGAGTTTTTCTATAAAAGGTATATATTTCTCATTCTTCTCTCACAGTTGATTGCAAGTTCTTTAAGATACATGCTTTAATACAAAGGTTTTAATACACTCTATGAACTGACCATTTTGCTGAAGAATTGAGTGCATTTAGTTGGGCAGGTTAGGGGCTTTTCTAGGCAAGACAATCTAATTTCAGTTTCATTAGAGAATTACATACAAGCACTACACAAAGAGCATTTTATTCCCTGCTTTTCTGAAATGTAACCTCTAGGTGGCACTGTGATACAGCAGATTAACAGAAATGAGAAGCATTTTCTTTCACTTTTACAAAGAATACTTCAATTTCCCTGCTCTAAAAATACTTTTCAAACTTGCTGTTTAAAATCAAAAGTTAAACAGGAAGGTCACATTTCATCTAAAGAACCGGTAAACAACTGTAAGGAATGATGAGTACCCAGTAAATGCCTTGTCCAGAAAATCATGACCCTCCAATTTGGCCAGTTCTTTTTAAGAGAACTTTTCTTTTTGGGGTCAGGAAAGCCCAGAATGGAGTATTATTTGCAAAGAAATTGCATCTTTTTATTTGTTTATTTGCATTATTCCACATAGTGCCACCTAGAGGTTTTGCAGCAGAAAAGCAGGAAAGGAAATGTTCTTCATGTAGATCTCAGATCTAAGTCCCACAGCAAATCTCAGGGTAGATACAACAGATTAACAACCTTGTGCAGAAACTTACAGAGTAATGTTAGAAATTCAAATGGAGACTTTTTAGCAGCATGTTTTCGCTTGCTGTTTCCTACACTGGTAAATCAGCATGCAACAAAACAGACTTTGCAATCTAAAGACTGAAACTTTTGTTTCTTTAGCTACAGTGACAATAGGATACATTCAGAAAGTCTTTGAGAATTATAAAGGTTTCTATCTGTCTGTCCATGTGTCTGTTTTTAACATAGCTAGTCTCCAACATAGCTACTAAATGAGAGAGAAAAAGCTGAAATTCCTGGAAAGAATCAGAGTCTTACCATTGTACAACAGGAGTAGGAAATCCTTGGACAGTGAAGTAAAGCCTGACTGCCATCTTTTCCCAAACAGTATGGGACCGAAGCCGTACCAAAATTTCGGGGGCTCGGCTAATACTCTCTTCAACCGCGTACCGTTCCAAAGCCATCCTTTCTTCTACCTGTAACCCAAGGAAGAGGGGAGGAATTAAAATGTGTACAGGCAAGAGGGAACTTCCTCTGAACACTGAGGAAGAAACAGGAGGAGCTCATGGGGGGGATTTTAAAGATGCCCGAAACACTAAGAATGGGACAAAAATGCCGCTCTCACAGTACCATCCTCTGGATGGTGACTTTATCCAGTTGTTCTCTAGCGCGGAGTCTGGCGATGTGAAGCTCTTCTTCCAAGGAGGCCAAATTGGAGACATAGCGGATCCTCCTTTTTTCACTCCAGTGCTGAGACTTTTGCTCTAGACTCCTGCACAACCAGAGTGCAAACCAGATAGGATTAACTCAGCATCGTGACCTTTTTATTCTGCTGGAGACCCTGTGGCAGGCCAACCATGCCTATGAAGTCTCATCTAAGGAGATGGGGATTCTGCATCCTGAATTATTTTCCTTCCCATTATAATGTGCTGAGAATCTGCAGGCACAAGGGCAGCCTTGTTTCTTTTCTTCCTTTCCCATAATGAACTCACTGAAGTAGACTAGACTCAACTCAACTCAGCCTTCCTCCATGTGGTGTCCCCCAGGTGTGTTTGCCGTGGTGGCTGGAGCTTATGGAAGCCCCAGGGACATGTGGTGTGGCTGTCACAAAACCAGATAATTAATACATCAGTGTGACGTTTGGTAGATAAGGTTGCTGTAGATACTTCCATTATCTCTCCACTGAGGCTAGCATGGGAAGAACCAACTGAACCTGCCAGCCTATATGACACACACACATAAGAATATAAGAAGAGCCATGAGTGTACCAAGACCCTCCTGCCCATGATTTTGTTTCCATACAATAGACCCGCTCTTCCAATTAGGATTAAGTACTTCAGCCAAGGCCAGCATGCGCTTCCAGTCCCTGCAGTGCCAGTCCTGCCATCAGGTAACTTGAGGACCCCTAATGGTTCCGCAGGGAAGAGATGATGGTGACGTCTTCACAGCTCTACCTTTCCTGGCATACCATGTCCATGTCCCTGGGACATTCGTTGTGCAGTACGTCAGCGGGTGAACAGCCACTCAGCCACACAAAACAGGAACAGGGTTGTCAGCATATTTATTACAGGAGTACATCTCTCGGCTGAAACTGAGAAGTCACCTTAAGCCACCCACCGGCCTCCCTCCAGTGATAAATAGGAGGTGAAGAGCTATATTTTGAGCATATTGCCCAAACATTTAGTGTTGGCATTTAGTGGGAGCATAGCACATTCCCTTAAACACACACATGCTTGGTACACATTTGCATTTAACCTGCTTCTTCTAGTCTATTCTCAATATTGGCAGGTGTCAGCTCTAAGATTTATGAGACATTCAGTGCTTCAGCATTCCAGACCTAATATATCAATGAAGAACCTGGTACACTGGGAGTGTCTTTCGTGTCGACAGCCCTGTCCCGAAACTACTTCTCCAGAGTGTTCCTAAGGCTCTGGGGGTTCTTAAGGTAAGATCTCTTCTTTTTTCTTGAGGATTATGAGGACGTAGGGAGGCGGGGATCCTACAGCCAGCCATTATAGAAAGGTCCCCAAGCACCTTTGGTGATTCACTTGATACAACACAACCATTTTGCACTGCAGAGATAAGAAGACACTCCTTGTGAAAATTAAAAGGAAACTCTATCTGTCAGAGATCACAGTCAAAGATCTGGTGGGGTATTTCAAGTCAGCTTGCCTCGTATTCTCCAAACCTCCTTCCTTATTGTGCACTTTTCTCTTCACCTCCCTTTCTGCCAGGGCCGTCTTAACGCATGGGCCTGATGGGCACTTGCCCGTGGGCCCCATACTAATCTGTGTATGTTAATCCTTGGAAAATGGGAAAACTTCCAAAATTGACAGTAGTTGTAGTTGTCGTAGGGGCCCCAGGACACTGCTTTGCCCGGGGCCCATAATGCTGTTAAGAAGGCCCTGCTTTCTGCCCTGCCCTGCTTTCCTCTTCCCCGCTACACCCTTGTGCTTGCCCTGTCTCTCCTTCTCCCTAGGATCGGAGTGCCTCCGAGTCCTATCCTGTCCTTCCTCAATCACTACAGGAGTAGGAGTGCTTGGGGAAGGACAGAGGCATCTTCCCCACCTCCACGCCACCGGAGAATTCCCTGCACTTTCGCTAACATGGCTGAAGAAAGCATTACCTTGCCTGGGATTCCTGCGACTCCTGCGACTCCTCAGATGATGTGTGGAGCCTCCTGGCACAAAGCCTGCATGTTGTCTTGCCCAGACCAGGAGACGTCTGATAGGAGGCAGCCTGTCTAGCCGCAGCCCTTCAGATACACGGAAAGGATAGCTTAAGGAGATGCAGCAGGGTAAGGGTACCACATCCTTCTGGGTGAAGGGGAGAGTAGCCATGGGCTGCCTGCCCACATGAAACACAGACAAGCCGCTTTTTTCCCTTTACCCATCAGAAAAGTGGGACATCAAAGCGGCGATAAAGGTCACAGCTGTTTCAGACTAGCTAGGCCAGCTTAGCAGGATGAAACGGGCTGGGCTAATTCAATGTAAACCTGCATTTGAACTGTGAATCTAAGAAACTGCTCTCTACTGACAGAAGCACTGGAGTTAGTCCTGCAGTATCTCTGGAAGGTCACGAAGGACATCTCTGCAACAGCTTTTCCATTAGCCTTTCTTTATGCACAAGAAGGCAAAGTTCTCATGTGTCTGCTATGATACCAATATTTCCAGTTAACACTGAGAGAGTAAAGCATCCCTCCCACTCTCCAGGAAGCATGACAGCAAGAGCTCTGCTGCAAGGCTGTGAATGGAAAACAGTCCCCTAATGTAAAAACCCTCTGCAGCCACAGTTGTCCAGTTCAGCTTTGTGAAATGCTGAATGCACCGTTGAATTGTGGAGAGAGGGGGAGAAGGGATCCCAAACGTACAGCCGAATTGTGGAGAGAGGGAGGGAAGGGAAGCAAATCCCACGCCCAGAAGCTGAAATTAGTCTGCAAAGCCCATCAGAAATCCCAATCCTTTTTGGTTGGCAGGTACATTTGGGATCTTGGGCACCATGGGGATACAGCATCACTGCCACAGTAGGCATGGCTCAGCACACAATGCCCATGACTCGGAAGCAAAGCTGGTGAGGCTCCAATGAAAGCCACCTGCCCAAGGAGCTAAGTGCCTACATTTTTAAGGCAGCATCTAAAGGTCGTAGGTCTGGGGGCTGTTTTAATGTCAATTGGCAAGACACTGCAATGGGTATCATGCAACAGGTGAAGTGTCCCTAGCTCAGAACGGGTGCCATAAAGGACACTGTGCCTTCAGCCACTGCCCAGGCCCTGAGAGTACTGCTGGAGGAACTAGTTGGTCACACCAGACTTGTCTTTCCTTCGCATGATCTCATCCATCCTGGATGTCTAGAATGCTTTCGCTTGCAAGTACACTCAGTCTCATTCGTTCCCATCCTCAGTCAAGGATCACATGCTCTAGAAATATATTTGCTTCCTCAGTGAGAACAACTAGGTCTCTGCTGCAGTTGCAAAGGTGAACACGGTGATGGGGAAATGCACAAGCTTTCATTATTAATATAGCAATTGGCATAAAACCCAGCTTTATTATTATTATTATTATTATTATTATTATTATTATATTTCTATGCCACCCCTTGCCGAAGCCTCGGGGCGGCTTTGACATCAAACCCAATCAGTGATGTGGATGTTAAATGCCTCTAAGAGGTTAAAAATTTAAATGTTCCTCCAAATAAAACATGAGTTTCATCATCTTAAAAATGATGTTATGGTTCTCACGGTAATTTTTTTGGATGCTTTTGCTGAGCTCCATGAAGATGTGAGATGAGTCAACAAATTTACTTTTGAATTTCATACAATATTTATATTTAGGTTGAAATTTTTTATTTAAATAAAAACATACTATATTTAGGGTGTGCATGTATCCCCTTCTGCTAACAGATAAGTTTAAGAAGGACATTTAAGAATATTGGCGGCACCTGCTTGATGCTTAGAGGGGAAGAATCTGATCTGCAGGTGGGGAAACGGTAAAACAGGAAGGCTGCTACTCCGGCAGTACAACCCTGTGCATCCTTACTTGGGAATAAGCTCCACTTTATTGTTGGAGAGTATTTCTGAGAAGGCATGAAAAGAAATGCAACGTGAAAATTAAATTCTATTTATCTGTTTTAGCTTCCATAGTGTGCAGCTGAAGCCACGGTTTGTTCTGCTTATTGCAGCTGTAATAGTATCCTGTTTTGGGAATGAATCACATGGGACCACCTGTACACCACTTGCCAAAAGAGCCCCTCAGAGCTAAATAACAGTGGGTGGCTGCAAATGTCAAGGCTTCTGGGACACTGAACGACCCTACTGAGCGTATGTCCAGGACAATGTAGGTCCTTGCACTTTTTAGCCCAGGCCCTACATGCACGGCACCCATTGTTTGTCTGTATCGTTTTACTGGTATTGTTTTGATGATAGTTGTTACCATCCTGAGGATCATGCTTCCCGGACATTGAGCCGGGATATAAAATAGCATCATACATTCTGGCACCAGTTTAAGGGCAAATACAGACAAAACAACACTGGAACTTTTCAAGGGAGTCCTATGAATTGTTGTGTCACTACAGAGCCTCATCAGAAAACTGAGCCATCTGACCAGGCCTGCACAACTTTTGACCCACCAAGCCAAATCGTCCCCTCAGCCACCACCCCAGCCATATAATGCAACCTGCCACTGTTGGACTGGCCAGTTCCTGTGGTCCAAGCAGTCAGTCAAAGCAAAAGACTTGATGCCTCTCCTCACGGGCTGCCAGTGAGCGTCGTTTGGTTCAGCTTTGTGTGGGTCCGGACCATTTTCATACAGAAGTGAAAAGCACAGGACTTACCTCCTTGCTGAATATTCCTGGAGCAAATACCTGGTCTCGATGTTGCGATAGGTTTGGTCAAAGTGCTTGTGCCTCTTTTGGTAGAATGGCAGTCTCTTGGGTGACATGTTGGAATCTGTCACAGCTCACAGCTCCTGGAAATCAAACAGTGACACATTTAATGAGGCCATTCAGCCCCTGTCATTGTTTCTCTTTCACCCTGAAGCTGAGATGGGTTACACCATAACAAGAAGGATTTTTAACTAGCTGTGCAAGCTGCTGCATCAGTTAACGTGAGGGCGGATGCCATCAAGCACCAGAGCATCTGTTAGGAGACGTGCGTTTCAACACAAGGCGAGTTTACTTGGAAGTAGATCCCACTGCATCCCTGGGAATGTGCTACAACAGGGGCAGGTGGCGTGATGCCATAAGCACCGATGTGCTTGCAGACATCTCTCTTGGCACTCACCAAGGTGCCCTATCCCACTTTCAAAAAAAAAGAAGAAAGAAATTAGCACATCTTCTTACTGGCAGGTGGGATTGCTTCAAAGCAAATTGAAGGCCTCCAGCTGCTGCTGTCTTCATTTCACATACATGCCTCTGGGCTATATGAAGGGGCTTGGAGACATTCTTAGGAAATGAAGATGGAGAAAGGGGATGTGCGTGTGAGCGTATGTGCATGTGTGCATGAGGAAGAGAGCATCTATGGGTGTTGATCCAGCATGAGGGAGAGAAAGGGATGGGGGAGAGTGAGCTGGAGGAGTAGTGGAGAGAGTAGAAGAGTTTGCCCCTGGGAAGTGGGGCTTTGTCGGCATTCAGTACTGTGGTTTCAAAGAAGTTGCTGTTGCATTGTAATTCAGAGCACATGTCTGCCTTGTGCAGTTGTTTGCGCAGATCGCATCCTTCCTGACTAAGTGGCAGACATTTTGTGGTGGTGCCCACGATAGTTGCTCAAATGGCCAAGTAGGAGCACTACCCCAAAAGATTGCTTGCCCCTGTACTATGGTTTATGTTGTAGGTAGCCTGGTACCATCCAGATGCTTTGGTGTACAATCCCCATGCATCCCAGTCAGTAGAGTCAATCGTAAGGGACTGTGGGAGCTGTAGTCCAAAACATTTGGAGGGAACCAGTTTGCCTCTCCCTGTTGCATGGCTTTGAAGTTTAAAGGACCAATGCACAAAGGCCACTGTTAAATTGGCCCTCAAACCTTCATCACTGAATTACACAAGATTTGCCGTCTTCAATGAAAGCTACAGCATTTGAATTGACATATCAAAGTTTTGTATCAATATAAAAATATGTTGCTCTAAAGCTTGATAAGCAAGCATGAGGGTACAATAAAAGCTTCCAGTGGAAAAGATCCAATGGATCACCAGAATGATCCATTGCTGTGTCTTCTGTTGACACCTCAAGACAGCTGGCTGTTCCCAAGAAATATGTAATTATTAAGTTGAGCCCTGACCCTATAGAACAGATTCTCTACATTTCTCATACTCCAGATTCTTCTAGACATTCTGAGCAGTTCACAGGACACGAGAATGGCTAATAAGCTGCAGGGACCTCTTAACCGCCCTGTGCAAGCCAGTCTCATGCCAGCTGATTTCCCTCCCCCGGAGTGGGTTGTGGTGAGATCTAAACCTGGTGTGTGTGGTTGGCTGGGGTAACGAGCAGTCCCATCGCAGTCTGCCTTGCATGTTCCGTCTCTCAGGCACAACCCTTCTAAAGACAGCATGGCCTGGCTTGGCTTTGTCCGGCCTCACCACACCCGGCACTCTCCATCCCCATTGACTGTGCCAGCTGAGGAAGAGGGAGTCTTTTGCTCCAACTCATCTGGAGAGCGCCAGGTTTGGGAAGCACCATTATTCCTTAGGACTCTGCTCGCCTGAATCCACCCACAGCACTGTCTGCCCTCTCCTGCTGGAGGAAGGGAGTGGGAAGACAGTCTTGCATCAACTGCCAAGGACCAGAGATCAGCTGAAGAACCACTCCTTCCGACTGCCATGCCTTTGCCAAGGGCACGTGCTGGCAGGAAGTTGTAGGACTTCTCCTCTGTTTAAACATGCATAGGGTTGTTCCCTAAGACACTGCGACTTACCAACATAACTTTATTCCACATATTTTGCTCAACCTTCCACCCTCCTCTGTCTCACCTAAGTTTGATTATGAGACTTCAGGAAGATGCTTCTTTCATTATGGTCCCTGCAAAGGGCTTGCTTGGCTTATTTTAAGCACAGAACAAACCGTCGTCACCTTAACGCATGGGTGGGTGTGATCATGCATCAGCTGCGAATGTTCCCGAAGGTGGCACAACTGCTGTCTGTCGGCTGCAGACTTCCCACTGAATTAGCATCGAGCTGATTCCCAAGCGCTGAGAGCCAGCAAAGTCACCATCTGTGTGCGGAGTCAAAATCCAGGATGGCTTGACTCTTCCACCCCTGAGTCCCAGTCGCAAGGCTGCGCTGCCACCGCTGCATGGAGTCAGGGAGCTGGCCCTGCGCTTGGCAGCTGCCTCAGGCAGCACATCTGGGGTGTCACGATAAGGGAGCAATTGGCTACGTTGTTGTTAGTTGATTTGGATTGGCAGGAAAGGGGAGAGGTGCTTGGTGGATGTTCTGCCAAGGGATCTTGACCAGCCTTGCACCCATTTGGCAAAGCGAGGCAGAGTCACGAGAGGACACAGGGCAGCTTGGGGTGAGTCACTCGTGGGTGCACCCTCCTGTGCAGCTACTCACAAGCAAGCCCATTGAGTCCAATGGGGCTTCCTGCAAAGGAAATGAGCCCAGGACTCCACTCGTAATGCGTTCCCATTGCTTTTCCACTGTCAGGGTCAGGGAGAGGCCCTTGTGGAAGTCTCTGCTTCAAGTGCTCCTGTAACTAGGTTGGCCTTGAGTACCACAGCTGTGGGCCTTGGTGTGGGGAAGGGGGCACCATTTCCTGCTCTGCCACAGGTCCCAGCCTACCAAGGGCAAGCCCTGCAGAGCCCTGCCCAGGCTCCACCTGACATCTTAATTGGGCATGGGAGGTCTTCACTTCCTCTCCTGAGCTGCCGGGTTACCCTGCTATAAGCAGCTGAGCATACATCACATTCCCCACCGGGGTGGTCAGGTTACAGCAGTGGCTGAAGCCATTTCTAAAGAACCCTGGGCCAGAATGTCAAGTTCTGGTCTAGCTCAGCTTCCCCGGGGATACGGCCTCGGAACGGTGCTCTGGCTAAACACTGAGCAAGTGGTGCACAGGATGAACTGAACGAGCTGCTCGTTTCTTTAGGAGGGACAGAGCGCCAACTGAGTGTCTGCAGAAGGTTGGCTCCACAGGGAAGGCAGGAAAGCCCATTGGTTTCCCAGAGCTGGACAAGAGATGGGTCCACAGAACTTTTTATTCCCCTGATTCTGTGGATATCCAAAGCCCAATCAAATCTCTTTACAGCCTCAAAATATTTCACATGCACCTGTCTTCAGGCATGATCAAACATACCGAGCTACCCCCTGCCATTTTGTTGCAGACTAGGGCTTTCATTCTGAAGGAAGAGCGGCCTGGTGCTCAGTTAAATGTTTCTCTCTGGAAGATACTCTTCCGTCTATCTTGTTTCAAACCAGTGCCAGCTCCAGGTGTCCTTGGGCAAGGCAGCCTCACCGCAGCCCCTGCCCCAGTGAGTCTGCCTCCTCACTGCTGTCATCACAGGCAGCTTTTGCTCCTCATCCTCTCTCACATCCCTGGCTGCACTCACGTGCCTGACAGGAAGGACACGCGGGCAGAAGGCAGACACACCGACTGCTCCTCCTCCTCCTCGCTGCCGCCACCGCCATCGTCTGAGCCAAAGCGAGAGAGACGTGAACACACAAACTGCAATGGCAAATGGAGCAGCAAGCCCAGGCCGAGGCCCTGCCCGGGGGGGGGGGGGTGCCCTTAGGAGGTACCCAAGTCCTGGATGCTGGTCCTGTTCCAAAGAAATCCCTTTGGCATGTGATCAATATTGTTCTCTGTGGTAGATCTGTGCGTTCACTAAATATTTCTGAAATCTTGAACCCAGGAAATGACTCTTGGCCTATGTGTACAATGATGCAGCTCGGGCTTCGGCATCTACTTGCTGGTTTAGCACATCTTAAGATGCGCTGCACTGACTCCAAAGATGCAATGCTATGCAGAACCAAGCTCTCCTTTGCCAGCTTACTTGGAGGTATGTTCTTTTGCCATTATTGCCATTTATACTAACAAAGGAAAAAAATCAGTCTGAATTTCCCCCCACCATTTTGTTTCGATGATACTTTCTTAAGAATTCCACTGCCGCACTATAAATCAGCTTTTCCCAACTTGGTGCCTCCCAGATGTGTTGGAATGTAACTGCGACAATTTGCAGCCAGCATAAAACAGACTGTGGTACTATAATGCTAGATGGCTTTGCATCCAAGCAAAGGATCCTTCATGCCATGACCTGGGACAGTCCTCATGTGTAGGGCACCCCGGCCACTGGACTGCTTAGGTCTGTGACTCTTTTGTTCATAGGCTGGGATTGAGAAAAGATTGGGCATCATGTGTTAGTGCTCTTCTACCTCTGAAGCTGCATTCTGGGAGGGACTGGAATCAGATCCCACTCAAGACGAATCAGCATTAGGGAAACAGTTCCTCTAGGATTGAGCAGTCAATCAGTTTTGACAGGCTAATGTTCCTGTGAATGCTCATGAAAGTCAAGATCCATCTGTTTAAAATCCATCAAGTCAAGATCTAGCTGTAGAGATCACCCACTTTTTGTTCCCTCAAAGAAAGAACAAGGTACAAAAAAAGTCCATGATTTTCCTTGGAATATTTCCTCCAATTCTTTCATTATGGAGAAGGAAGGCTGGTTAACTGCAATCAAATATGCTAATGATATTCCGTAAAACATGACAACTATTCTATTCCTATGGGCGTGTGTGTTGATAAACTGCCTTGGGATGACAGTTTTGAAAGGTGACTGGGAAAAGTGAGCAATAATTAATGAACTTAATGTGTTGTGATGGATACATAGAAGCTACCTGGGCCCACATATTCCTTGCACCCTAAAGTTCATTTAGAAATTTCAGAAATTTCACCCACCATAAAAAAGGGCTTGCAGCCTATTAAATGCTAAATATGAAGATCCCAAATGCTCCTTGAGTTCTCCAGGCCTGCCATTTT